ACCCAAATCTGCAAATTTTCAGGAAAGTTGTCTGCCAGTGGGTCTCATTTCAATTATCTTTCTTGAATTTCACATATAGCTCGTTATGACCATATGTTAATAATCTCTCCATCACAGAGGTAATTGATTTCTCAAATATTTCTATCAATACATACAAAACTTAGTGTCCCACTTGTAATGTTGGGCAAGCCTACCACAGTACAAAGAGGAGGGAGGGGTATACTAAACATTTTTTAAAAACATTCTAACTTAAAGTGGGGTAGACGATATCTAACACACTTAGCAATAATTTTTGGAACCTTCTCAATAACTGCAAATGAGGGACAAATACAATCCGGATCTCTGCCCCAACATGATCTGCCCCAACACACTGCATAATATTTTTAAAAGTCATTCTAACATATAGGAATATCCAGAAAACCAACCTGCATAATCAGGAAAGAGCAAACTTTCAACTTGTATTTATTTTAAAAGACCTCCAGGATTAACAGACATTAATGATCTTCTTCCTCTAAATATAAGTTAGTGACTCTTGTCTTAGAAAACCCCAACTAGTCCACTAATTGATGGATGACCATTCATACACCTGTATATGAATTTCAGCGGTAAAAAGACAAACGGCTTTCAGCACCAAGAGTACCACTTGGCCAGTCTTTTTCAGAATGTCAGTATGCTTCAAGTAATACCAAAGCTGAGAGATTCCTCTTGATTTCCAAAAGTGTCTAGGTGGCCTGGGTGGGTTTCTGCCTGCAGCAGCCTCCTACCTTTAGTTCCTGTGCTTATATCCATGAGGGGGATTAATAAGCCTGGCTGGAGCCAAAGGAGGCTGTCGTGACGAGCCCAGTGGCGATTGGCCGCCAGCCTGCCTGGCCCTGCCTTTATAATTTCCACACGAGTGCATCTGGGCTCTGAGACAAACCGACAGCAGCTTCTTCTGACATATACACACGCACACTCACCCCTGACACACTCAGCACACTTTTCCTCCACCTGATTAACAGTCCTGCACACACAATGACTCTCGGAAAGGGTAAATAAAGACGGAAAGGGTTTATTTTGACTCCTGAAGAGCTTTGCTGGGTATCAGCGCAACTTTGTTTTTATAACTGAGAAGGGGATCTCTCCGTGCGTTTCTCTCCCACCAGGATTCTTTAAAAGAGGAAGAGAGGCCGAGAAAGGGGGAGGGGGACAGTGTTTCACTTTAAGAGCCGCTGGGCGCCTAGACACAAGGAGCGGACCGCGGCAACTAGAACCCCCGCAGCGGCGCGTCCGGACCGGTTTGGAAACGCTCTGACAGCGCTGGGCCGTTTCTGCGCGAAGTTGGCTCCAGCTCTAGCAGCCGCATTGGATCCCACAGCCTACTGCGAGACTCCGGTGTACAATCCGGATCTCTGCCCCAACATGATCGCGGCCCAGGCCAAGCTGGTGTACCATCTGAACAAATACTACAACGAAAAATGCCAAGCCAGGAAAGCTGCCATTGCTAAAACTATCCGGGAAGTCTGCAAAGTCGTATCCGACGTGCTGAAAGAAGTGGAAGTGCAGGAGCCCCGCTTTATCAGCTCCCTCAACGAAATGGACAACCGCTATGAGGGCTTGGAGGTCATCTCCCCCACCGAATTTGAGGTGGTGCTTTACCTTAACCAAATGGGGGTTTTTAACTTTGTGGATGACGGCTCGCTGCCCGGCTGCGCGGTGCTGAAGTTGAGCGATGGGCGCAAAAGGAGCATGTCCCTCTGGGTGGAATTCATTACTGCCTCCGGCTACCTCTCGGCGCGCAAAATCCGGTCCAGGTTTCAGACGTTGGTGGCTCAAGCAGTGGACAAATGTAGCTACAGGGATGTGGTAAAGATGGTGGCAGACACAAGCGAAGTGAAACTGCGAATCCGAGATCGGTACGTGGTGCAGATCACCCCTGCATTTAAATGCACCGGGATCTGGCCGAGGAGTGCTGCCCACTGGCCACTTCCCCACATCCCCTGGCCCGGACCCAACCGGGTGGCGGAGGTCAAAGCGGAAGGGTTCAATCTCTTGTCCAAGGAGTGCCACTCCCTGGCCGGCAAGCAGAGCTCGGCGGAGAGCGACGCCTGGGTGCTGCAATTCGCGGAAGCGGAGAACAGACTGCAGATGGGGGGCTGCAGAAAGAAATGCCTGTCCATCCTCAAAACCTTACGGGACCGCCACTTGGAACTGCCTGGCCAGCCCCTGAACAATTACCACATGAAGACTCTGGTTTCCTATGAGTGTGAAAAGCATCCCCGGGAGTCCGACTGGGACGAGTCTTGCCTGGGCGATAGGCTCAACGGCATTTTGCTGCAACTTATCTCCTGTCTGCAGTGCCGGCGGTGCCCTCACTACTTCCTACCTAATCTAGACCTGTTTCAAGGCAAACCTCACTCGGCGCTAGAGAACGCTGCCAAACAAACGTGGCGACTGGCAAGAGAGATCCTGACCAACCCAAAAAGTTTGGAAAAACTTTAGAGAACAGCCGAAACGTTACTAGTCTTCTCAAAATCCTAATTAAGTGTACACTTCCTGTTCGATACCTAATATACCACTTGACAGTGCAAACAATCTCTTCCTTAAAAAGGAATAATACAATGCTTAGGCATTCTCACCAACCCCTCCAAGGGGAGAAAAACAGTGGGGAAAGCAGATAAAGGAAAACCCCCAACCCACAAGTATTAGAGACTTCTTTACAAAGGATTTCATAATTCTCTTGGAAAGTAGACAATGACACCCTGAAAACAACCCAGCTGTAATGCAAGACCACAGGGAACACTCTGACTAACTATCAAAGGATTATAGCAATCTTGGTGACTTAGGTGCGTCTGTCTGTGAGTAAACACGATTTGGATATGCCATCTGAAGGAAAGTGTAATGTGTATTTTTATTTGTAACAAATATTGTGATCTCACATTGTCTTTGAAGTGTGGATGTTTGTGTTTTGTGATTTGGTGAACAGAAGTTAAATTGCCATTTTGGATACTTCCAGACACTTTCCTCTATCAAAGATACCATTTAAAGGTAGATTTCCTCCCAATACTTTATCTGTCTTTGAAAGTATCTGAACTTTAAAAAGTTTACATTTTGTTTCAAATATATTGCTTGTTCTATTTCTAACATTCCACAAATATACTTGAAATGTTATTTAAATATAGTCAAAGAAATTTGAATTCAGCGTATATAATAACGCTTGAATATCTGAATTATATATTTGAAAAATGCACTTGAAATACACTGGATAATTACTTTTGGGATTTAGATTTTAATTTCTCTTGCTGGTTTTTATTTAATTAGAAGCTAATAAAGAGGTAAAATAAAAGTTGTGTGTCACTTTAAATTGTTTTTCTTTGAAAAAATGTAATGCTTCATTTTGAATATTAAACCCACTTGAATATTTTAAACATTACAATGTTTTTTGTAGAGCTACAGAAGATAACAGTATACTCTCACTTTCTAACTTACTTAAAAGACTATTTCTTTCCATGACAGAAACAATTTAAATCTACCCATGAAAGCTTGCTCTTCTAGGTTATTATTTCTGTGCCATTTTTTGATGATATAAAGAAAAAATTTAGTGAAGACTGCTAAGTTAAACATCAGGCTAACTCACAGAAATGAACTAATCAAAATCATAATGAAAATTTTGAAATTTGTAAATGAAAACTATACTAGCTAATAAAATGAAGATAATTTCTGACCAGTTAATGTCAGACCTTATTTTATGCAGTATTCAAATAGCTGAGTAAATTAATCAGAAATCCAAAATTTCTTTTTACTTTATAGGGCTAGCTAATAATAAAAGCATAAAGACAAACTTTAAATTATTTAAAGTCAAATACATTATATTTACACTTATTTGTAAAATTCAATTCTTTTGGATCTAGAAGTGAAAGAAGTCCTGTAACAATCCTTCAGAGAGTATTTTAATAGTCAACAAGTGCTGAGAACTAATCACCTATGGCCTTAAGGTTATTAGTTAATTCAAGTGGGGGTAAATTTTAGAATTTTAATTGCTATTCTACAAATAGCATTTTATAATGCTTTATTTCTATATAAAATTTACATAGAAAGGATAAAGTTCTGGATCTATGGGAGCATTTATCTTTGACTATTTTAGAATAATTGTCTCTGAAAACTACTTTAAAGGAAGACTTTTATAAAATGATTCTTAAATATCTAGCATGACACTTCTGTTCTTGAATTCTTAACCTCAGGAAAAAAAGTTTACAAATTGTACATACATACAAGTTAAAATAACAATAAAACTGATTGCAGAAGAAAGTGCAGAGGTGTAGAGTTGCCCTAATATTCAGGTTTTTAAATCTAAACAAGACATAAAAAAACAAATAACATATGCATTTCAAATCCTCCAAACGTGTATTTTCTGCATTACACCCAGAGAAGAATACAAACTTTAAACATCCCAGCGCTAGCATATACACATTTTAAGTCAAAACTTTCCAGAGAATCAGTTTCTCTTCCTTTTAAATTCACATGTAAAACCCATTCTTATTTCAGGAAATAAAAAACGGATGTAATAATGGAGATTAATTTATATCTAAATGTAACCCCCTCCCTGCGGTTTCCTTATAACCTTTCAATCAATAATAATTCACACTGCAATCTACATTTTTGGAAATTAAAAGTGATCTCTAAGAAATTTCATAAAACCCTTCCCAGTCTTCTCAGAGAGCCTGAGATTCTGTACCACGGGGACTTGGGAGCAATTGGCTTAACTACCAAATCTACCCAAATGCACACAAAGGCACTCACAGACAGACTGTTAAAATGTGCCTGCTCTGGTAATACAGAATTTAAAATCGTTAATATAGTCTTCAATCCCATAAAATAAAGCATGTGTTACTTCACTCATTTTATTTTCTATGAGAAAGATGGGAATCTGCTCCCCTCCCCCGCTTTCATTTAAAACCCAGCAAAATTGAAAAACACTTCCTCCCGGCCACCAGTACTGTAGCCTAATCACTTTAACTCACTTTAGAGTCGATCTTTTTGAAGGCGGGGTCATCCTCATCTACCTCGAAGTAGATTTCTGTCGTGGTGATAGAGAGAGTCCCTTTGGCCACCACCACGGGAGCGATGAGCTGGGCAGGCGTGCTGAGGACCACTGGGCCTGAAAGACAAGGGCATTCTAGTCAGGCTAAGTCCCTGTGAGTCTCTCTGGCTTCCTCCCAGAGTGGTACCATAGGCTTTTATTTTTAAAGATGCACCAAAAAGATGGTGCTTATACTATGTAGCAAGCTCCTTTCATGCGAGATAAGGTCAGCTTAGCTTTCACAAATTACCTTAAAACGACACTAGAAATAAATACTTTTTATAAAAACCCAATAGGCCAGAGAACCGAATAAGTAACACTTAGTAAACGAGTTTGCAACCTCCTCCTAGAAATCCTACATGATTGGTGAGACGCTGCTATTAACTAAAAAGTGCAGTACGGACTCTACCAGGCCCCATTCTGCACGGAGCACCCTGGCTGTCTGAAACTCTAGGCAGTCAGCACGGCTGGAAGGAAACGGTCCTTGAGTAAAGCCCCGTAAACTAGGCAGCAGAGTTCCCCAAGATCTGTGCGGGAGGTGTGAAGCCGGCGGGATGATAATATAGAAAGTCCAAGGCACTACGGGTTTGCATCTTGCAGGAGGGTTAACATCGGTGGCCCGAGGCGTGCCACGTACTCATACACGCGCGCACACGGACATTAAATACATTTCTTATGTAGATAAAAAACCAAAACTCATAGCAGTGATTTTTCTAACAGAGAACCAGTCAAAAGATGGTGAAATTGTTAAGACATCTGAACAAAAAGATTCTCAGGAAAACAGCCGAAAAGTTCTAATTCTCAATTTTTTTAAACTAGAGGAATTAAGCAAGCTGCAGCAAAAGATTTTTAGGCAATGTGTCTACCAAGGTGCTTACTTCAAATCCCTTCCATCTGAGTTAGAATTGAAAATTAAGAATTTCGTATATTAGAATACTACAAAAGGGGATTGCTTAGCAGTTCGTTTAAGATTCCCGGGAGGGGAGGCATTCTTAGCTGGACTACAGACAAGGAAATCAGAAATAACGTCCATTCTTCCGTAGCAAGGACGCATTGCATTCCTTTCCATTCCCCCCTCACTTGCATTTTAGTCAAAGGAGTCACAATAACAGCAAAGCAGAGATAAAAAGGAGGGTCCCCTGTGGACACTGAGGTCAGGACCCTTCGCGGCGGCTCCTCGCGGAGCAGCTTGTACAGCCACGCGAGCAGAGCGGGAGGCGGGGCGCGGGCCGTGGAGGTGACCGCGCTCCGGGGACAAGCACCAGGAATTTGCCACCAGCCGCACAAAGCCGGCCTTTCTGTCGCCAGAGGCACGGAGAGGACTAGGCTGGCTTCCGTCGCGCTTAAAAAGGGGTGGATGTGAAGCAAACTGTGTCAGTGTCAGTCTACACCCGGGACCGTGACTGCCTGCCTGGTGGGACAAACACTAAACCCTTTCGTTTATTTTAGTGCTTTCTCTCCCTGCCTGGAGCCCGCAAGGGGCCTGGCTGGGGTCTCGGGCCTGCAGCTTCCGCTTCAGAGCCAGCGGAGTCAGGGGTCCACCTTAGCTCCGTGAGGTTTTTCTTTCCAAAGGGCAAAGCGGTCGATCTGAAGCGTCACTTTAAAGACTCATCAATCTTAATCTAGGTTGCTCAAGTAATTATGCCTGAATCTCTTGTATGATTACAAGTGGATTTGGGTTTCTATTCCCCAGACCCTCCTTTGTGTTCATTGGAGGGTCTGTTCGGCGCTCAGAGGCGCCCCATCCTCCCAAGCCTAGCTCAAAATCCCCAAAGCCGAGGCATCCAACCGGCTCCCTTAACCCTTAAACTACCAGGACTCCTTTGGATGCCACTCTTTGATTTCCCTTCTGGAGAAACCCATGTTTTATCTTGTTTAGGACAAGGTGAGAAAGAAGGTGATGTGATTCACATCAGAAACAAAATATCTTCTTATTCATCGTTGGGCCTTGCTAAATAAAACCTTAGGAAAGTCCTTATTCTAAACACAGAAGGATAGTGATTTCTGGTTTAATAGAGCTTTCTGGCAATTGGAGTCCAAGAATGGTCAAAACATAAAAAATGGCAAAGTGCTTCTTTCTCTTAAAAAGTAATTCAACAGATCCAAACAATTAAATTGAAAATATATCATGAAACATATTATGAAAACCATACACACTGATTTACTGAAATATATTATGAATTTCAAATACAGCTCTGTAAACTTTTAACAGGTAACACATTTTCTCTAATTGTTTCTTTGTGTTTCTGAAAGGACACTGCACTACCTTTTGATTTTACTCCAATCTTATTCTATTGAATTGCTATTTTATGGGGTTTTATAAAAGGGCTTCAAACGGGTCCTTCTTTAAGAAAGTCACGTCATAAAATACTCAGCTTTGTGTGTCATTTTTACCCTTGTCCTTTGGAAATACTAGTATTCAATTACACTTCCAATTCCATGTTTAAGGAGCACCGAGTCTTTTTGTTGTAGCCTTCAGGAAGCAAACCAGTCACAGAGAATACAGAGTTAATCCACTACAGCAATAGAGAGAGGGGATTATACATTAATCCCTTTTGGGAGACCTCATTTTAGGGATCTCATATTAAGATATTTACATAAGGAACAATCACAAACCAGTAGATCTTCCATCTGGAAGATGTGGGTATTTGAAAGCCTCGATCCCTTTAAAAAACAAAAAAGTTAAAACGGGGCAGCATCTCTGGAAGCAAGAGCAATGGTGATCCAGCAGGTTCTATTCTAGAAGATAAACTGGTAAAAATTTAACCTCTAATTTGATTAGTGTAGTGAGTTGGGACCTGAATGTAGATATATTCAATCCAATCACTACTATAGCAATAAAAGGATAAAATATAATGTTATCAAAATATGATGTAGACGTAAGCAGTTTGGCTCAGTGGATAGAGCGTCAGCCTGAGGATTGAAGGGTCCCAGGTTCGATTCCAGTCAAGGGCATGTACCTTGGTTGCAGGCACATCTCCAATAGAGAGCGTGCAGGAGGCAGCTGATCGGTGTTTCTCTCTAATCAATGTTTCTAACTCTCTATCCTTTCCTTTCATTCTGTAAAAAATCAATAAAATATATTTTAAAAATATAATGTAGGTATATTCAATCCAATCACTACTATAGCAATAAAAGGATAAAATACAATGCATATGAGTGACAAATAATAAAGTACGGTTAAAGAAATGGATGGGACAAAACCTCCTCCCTTATTGATGCCTATAATACTTTAAAGCTGTGTCATTTAAAGTGGTAATTAAAGAAAAAGAAAAATCATTTACATTTTTAAATTGGGAATATAATGTTTAAGAAGTCTTGATCCATTATTATTTTTGAAAGGAGAGGGATATAACTTTTCACTTTAATGCTAATTTAAAATCTGAATTAAAACAAAGGTTAATACCCAAACATAGTGAAAAGAATTTTTAAAAGAATAAATTCTCTTTAGAGCCATAGAGTCTTTAATTCACTGAGATTGTAAACATAGAGTAGAAAATAACATATGTTTTATATTTGAGAAGGGAACTATTCATGAAATATATTTTAAAAGTAGAATGTTAAAAAAAACATTCATGGGTTTGGATGAATTTACTGAAAACAAAATTCTAAGCCTAGAAATCTTAATACATCAACTTTTTAATAGAACTTTATAGTTTACAAAGTTATTTTACATAAAATTTATAGTTCAATATTCACAATTTTCGGCTATGAATGTGAGAATATCCTCTTGCCCAAAGACCATCAGAAACACATCTATAATTGAAAAAATTGGGTTTGTTGCTCATTGCAACAAGGGAGACATAGGAAATGGTGTGACTTAGCAAGTGGATGTTTGAAGGACTTCCTATAGAATTTGGGCTTTGGTTAAATGATTTTGGGAAGGGTTCAAGGAAGAAAGCAGGACTTTATTCTGGATTGGACTCTGTCAGGGATAATTCTGATTGGGTGTCTTAATAAATCTTATCTAAATGGAGGGAGAACTAGATCAAGGCAGCTGCAAATGGCAAAGAAGTAGCAGTCACTCATATTATTAGCCAGAAGAGATGTTCAATATTTAGGTAGTATGGGGAATGAACTTGTTTTTGTCTGGTTGTTTTAGCCTCACATCATCATCACGTGACCTTGTCTGATGTTGGTGTTCTGTGAGGCTGTGTCCAAAAGGAGAGCACCATGGTCTAGCTATGAGCTCCAGGCCAACTCCTAACAATACCAAGGCCTCCGTTTTAAGGGCCAGCCCACTTTCCAGAGGTCAAGGGCTACTTCCTTTTTTCTCATACACCAGGAATTAATCATTTGGGGGGAGGGGGAGTCAATAGCATTCTAGCAATTAAAAGGCAATTTATTCTGACAGGTGTGAGGTGAAACCTCATTGTCATTTTAATTTGCATCTCTCTGATGATTAGTGACTTTGAGCATTTTTCCATATGTCTCTTGGCCAACTACCATCAACAAACCACAAATGCTGGCAAGGATGTGGAGAAAAGGGAACCCTAGTACATTGCTGGTGGAAATGCAGACTGGTGCAGCCACTAAAAATATTCCTCAAAAGATTAAATATGGAACAGCCCAGTGACCCCACTTCTAGGAATATATCCTAAGAAACCCAAAACACTAATCAGAAAGAATATAAACACCCCTATGTTCATAGCAATGCAGTTTACAATAGTGAAGGTCTGGATATATAGCCCAAGTGCTCATCAGTAGATGAATGAATTAAAAAACAACAACTGGGATACATTTACACCATGGAATACTATGCAGCTTTAAAAAAAAAGGATCTCTTACCCTTTGAAACAGCATGGAGGGACCTGGAGAGTACTATGCTAAGTGAAATAAGCCAATCAGAGAAAGACAAGTATCACATCATCTCCTCATATGTGGAATCTAATGAACAAAATAAACTGATGAACAAAATAGATCCAGAGACATAGAAGCATGGTACAGACTTAGGAATCTCTGAGGGAAGGCTGAGGGGACTGAGGCGGGAAGAGATTAACCAAAGACCTTATATGTATAAACCATAGACAGAGACAATAGTGTAGCGAAGGCTTAGGGAAGGGGGGGATGGGTGAAGA